TGACTAGCGCTGGTTGAGATGTTTGTGTTTAACACATCAATAGTTTTAACACACTAAAAAATTCAGTTTGATTCACAATATTTTACTACAGTGTTTATGAAAAATATGAATTCACAGTGCACTACAGGTAGTGGGGACAAATATTGTGACACAATTTCAAGTGTGTGTGGAGAACAGTCTTCTTTCAACCCTATCAGGGCATCCCTGAGACTGTATAACTTCATTTAGAGACAGCATCAAACGTCTATAGTGAAGGCACCTTCCTGAAGCGAAGAGCATAAAATCCTGCTGACCCCTGTGTGAGGACCTGCTCACACATTTATATCCTGCTATTTTCTCACTTGTGTGAAATGCTGTTGTGATTAATAAAATACAATTTATGTAACAGTTCTAAAGAAATTTATGTTAGCTGTTTGATCCCCCTCCCTCAACTGGTACTCTGGGGTACAACTACTACTATCAAGTGGGAGAATCAACAAAATTTTGACATTTAAAAGGAAACCTTGTACCTGAAATCTTTGATAACCACTTCTCCACACAGACCTTGAAGGAGATACCTGAAAGTTGGCTAAATCCTCTACATTCGAGGAATCGCCAATACAAAGACTCAGCTGTCTTGCCTGAGGCTTACTGTCAGTGGTGTATGGTCTAAAGGGGTTGGTGGGAAACTCTTCCTTTTGGTCTTAGACCCTAGGTTTTCTATTAGTGAAAAACAATGACTCATTTATTCATTTAGTAACATCTAGTTTGCCAGGCACTGGGTTAGGCAGCAGGAGAGGGGTGGTGAACAGTAGGCTGTACACTTAGGAAGCTCAGGAGGAAGCATGTGGAAGGTTCCAGTAAGTTCTCCAGAGTTCCAGGAGAGTGGGGGCAGAACCAGTGTTCACCCTCATACCCCTTTCACTGAAATGAGGTGTACGGGGCAGACAGCTCGACTTCTGCCCCTCTCACACATGACCCCTGAATGAGCTTTCCAACCGTTGGTACTGGGCCTTTTGTTTAGTACAAGAACTAGGCTTAGTACATGATACATGATAGTACACATACATGATGATAATGGGAAATTAAGATGGTCCAGGGGCATCGGTGTTTCAGTGGTAGAATCCTTGCCATCCATGTGGGAGCCTTGGGTTTGACTCCCCATGTGCAGCCACCACCCATCTGTCAGTGGAGGTTGGTGTGTTGCTATGATGCTTTAACAGGTTTCAGTGGAGCTTTCAGACTAAGATGGACTAGGAAGAAAGGCATGGTGATCTACTTCTGAAAAAAACTCAGCCAGTGAAAACCCTATGGATCACAATGATCCAGTCTGCAACTGATCATGGGAATTGCACAGGACTGGGCAGTGTTTGTATTGTGCACGGGCAGTCGCCGTTAGTCGGGGGCCGACTCAATGGCTGCTAACAACAATGAAAGCAACAGCAAGATGGCCCAAGTCAGGAGTGGAAGAGAGCAGAATGTGAGAGCTCTCACCTGTCTTCCTTGGCATGAAGGAGCGAGACCTGGCGTGTCTCTGGACGATGAGGCTGGCTTGCCAGTCTGCAGAGGCCGGGACAGAGCTGCAAGGGTGACGGCCTCAGAAAAAGGCAGTGACTGCTTATGTGCTCAAGGACTTGTATACTTGGAAAGGACTTTGATTTTTCTGTCTGAGATAGACAATTCTGTCTCACGTAGACAATTCTCAGAGAAAAGTGGGCTTTTTTTCTGGTGACCTGTAGAATAGGATGACAATTTTTGTACTTTTCCAGTGTACTGAAAATTCCTCTAGACCAGTGCTTCTCAAACTTTAATGTACATGTGAATCACCTGGGGATCTTGCTCAATTGAATAGGTCTGGAGCAGTTGCCTGAGAGTCTGTGTTTCTAACAAGCTCCTGCCCAGGTGATGCTGAGGCCACAGCTCTGTGATATTGCTGGTCTTCGGGCCATACTTTGAGTAGCAAAGACCTAGAACCTTCCTTGTGGCCTGGAACCATGGGAACTGGCCTGGCTTGCTTTTGTTAAGGAGTCCCTGGGTGGTGCAAATGGTTAACAAGCTTGGCGGCTAACCAAAATGTTGGAGGTGTGAATCCACCCAGAGGTGCCTCGGTAGAAAGACCTGGAGATCTACTTTAGAAAAATCAGCCATTGAAAACTCTGTGGAGCACAGTTCTACTCTGATACACATGGGGTCGTCATGAGTTGGAGTTGAGTCAAAGGCAGCTGGTTTTTTGTTGAAGGAATTGATTTTGTTTCAGCCATGCTTGCACCCTCATTATCTGCAGTGGCATTTTCTTCCCTCAAGAGTCTTAAGTGGTCTAGGGAGATGTGGCCAGAAGATCGCTGTGTTCAATAATTTTTCACTTATTAAAAAAAATTCTTCTTGTATTTTTGAGCATATTCTTGTATTTGGGATCACAGTAGCTCCATCGACAGTCAAGATCTTCTCAATCCCACATCATTATAATGCGTTGCCTTGACCCACATATTTTGATTTTCTTCTATATGGTAGGGGTAGGTTCACCATAGCAAATCCTAATGCAGGGAGCTTTGCAACTCAGTCATAAAATGATGAAGTCAAGTGTTATGTTCAGTGATTTGATAATGCAGCTGTCTTTTTAAGATGAGTAGATGATAGTGTCAATTGTGAGGATGGCGTAGGATCAGGCAGTGTTTTTGTTACGTTGTACATAGGGTCACTATGAATCAAAACTGATTTGGTGGCACCTAACAACAACAACACATTATAGAGTAAAATCCGTACAAGAACCTAATCCATTGATTATATTCTAGATTTTGAGCTCAGCTGTCATCAGGCCTAGCTTATCATTTGAGCCTCCTGGGTTAAAAACAAGTACAGGAATTTGAAAACAAATTTTGATGTCTTTGTCTGTTTTGAGCTAGATAGGATAGCTTCTCCTAGAAAGGAAGTGAAGACTCAAAGTTCATTTGATGTTTGCACAACATAATGAATATAATTAATGTCTCTGAATTGTACATGTAAAAAGTGTTGAAATAAATGTTTTGTTGTATGCACATTTACCACAATAAAAAAAAAAAATTAAACTTGACTGTGATCTTCAGGAAAATTGAGGCTTCACACCATAGTATGTGCTTACAAGCCCCAGTGCTTCATTCAGTGCAATGTCTTCCAGGACAGAGAGAGGCTTTTTCATGCAATTTCCCAGGCCAACAGTCCTAGTTTTTAATGAAAAGATAATCAGATAACATAGAACAAGCTGATCTTCCAAAATTATTTTTCTTGGATTGGAAGAATAGATCACTAAATGCCTCTAATATCTTCATTTATTTTTATAAGTTGCATTCCATCCCTAAGACATTCTCTGGGTCTGTCAGCAACTTTGATTGAAGCAGAATGATCCTATTCTGATCAAAATCTTAGTTTCATCAAATATCCTGATGAGGGCTTGCCAGTGTCTCTTCTATTAAGAGGGTTTTGTTGTAATTGTTTTCGTCTTAATCAGATTTGGCCTACACTTGTCTTATGTGGAATTTTAGAACCTTAGAAATAATTTAGTCTAACCATCTCATTTTACTGATGTGGAAACAGCCAGGTAGTGTGGCCATGATCATAGCAGCCTCTCTGGGCTCCCCAGTCTCCCCCAGGGCCTTTCTGCATTGATTCATGGATGTGATATGGGGACCTTGGGACCTGGGGAAGTTGATTTCCACCATTTCTGCTGGGGAGTCAGGGTGTTCAGAAACCATTCATTGCATTGCCACATCAACCCACTTTGGCTCCTGGTAGAGTGGTGATGAAGTCACAAATACTCAAGGGTGGCCAAGAATAGTGGTTTGAGCTTAGATTCTGGAGCTAGATTGCTTGGATCAAATCCTGGCTTACAGGTTGTATGACTTTGGTCAAGTCACTGGCCCCCTTTGTGCCTCAGTTTCCTCATATATAAAATGGGGACCTTCCTTACTGGATTGTTGTGAGGACTAAATGATTTCATACCTACAAAGTGATTAGAACAAGTGTTTAGGTGCATTGTATGTGTTACATAAGGGATTGCTGCTCCCATTAGGGCATTGTTTTGCACACTGTGGATCTTGACCAGTTAATGAATTAAGAAATCAGTGTTCTGAGTCACAAATAGCATTAAAAAAAAAAATTAAATACCATGTGATAGAACAAAAGAGAACATATTTCACCTAAAAAACCAAAACCCACTGTTGTCAAGTCAATTCCAACTCATAGAGATTCCTATGGAACAAAGTAGAACTGCCCTATGGAGTTTCCGAGGCTGTAATCTTTACGGAAGCAGACTGCCACATCTTTCTCCTGCATGTTACACCTACTCCTCACTTAGTATCTCATTATCTAACATTTTGCATTTACGACAATAGTAAAAAATCTACCATCTGGCTATTTTGTGCATTAACGACATACATCTGGCAGTAATGAATGCTGAGGTGTGAGGTGAGAGTAATGCTGGCTGTGATGATTAAGGTTATGTGTCAACTTGGCTGGGCCATGATTCTCAGGGGTTTGGCAGTTATGTAATGATGTAATTTGGCAGTTATATAATGATGTAATTTGGCAGTTATGTACTGATATAATTTGGCAGTTATGTCATGATGTAATTTGGAAGCTGTGTAATGATGTGGTCATCCTCCATTTTGTGAGCTGAGGTGGTCATCCTCCATTTTTGCATAATGCCAATTTTTGTATAGTGACCTGGCCTTTGGAATCTAACCATGTCAATAAGTGAGGATTGAGTATAGTGCCTTGCATTTCTTCAAGATATAGTTTTTTGTTCATTTTCTTTTTTTGGTGTTCCTTTGGCTTAAAATATGTGTGTGTGTGCGTATGTGTATCACAATGTGTGAGATGCATTTATCACTGTGGATTGTGGCTAAAGTGTTTGGAAGCCACTGCTCCGGGGACTGAGATGAGTTGATTGTTTTTTCTAAGCACCAACAAGGGGATGAGCAAGGCCCGAATTAGACGTGAATGCTCACGGTGAGTCTGGCTAAAACTTCTGTATGCTTCCATTGCAGAGGGAGACCAAAGGGCAGTTTCTCATCGATCACATCTGCAACTACTACAGCCTGCTGGAGAAGGACTACTTTGGCATTCGCTATGTGGACCCAGAGAAGCAGCGGGTAAGGTTCCACTGCTGTCCGTCCTGTTTTTTTGGTAGTGACCCAGGATGTGCGTGTCACAGGGATTCTTCTCAGGGCCCTCGTGGTACTCTCTTGTTCTCATTGATTACTGGCCTAGCTCTCTCCACATGAAATTGACTGGCTGGTGGGTGTGTGAGTGGAAGTAGCACTTCTACTGGACTGGGTGGGGCAAGAGAAGGGAGCACTTACCTTAGGCCTTTTTCAGAAAGTTACTCTCAGCTGGTTGGAAGAGAGAAGATTTCTGTACTCTTTGAACCTAGAGTTCCTAGCTTTTCCTTTTGCCAAAGCTCCTCAAATATTAATAGTGACTGCATAAAATCTCATTGTAGAGAAAACTATACCCCTTCAATGTAAAAAGCTATTAAGGTCACCAAGAGTTGGCACCATCTCGAGGGGAGAATGGAGAATGGGGAGTGACTGCTCTATCAGTGCAGGTTTCTTTTGGGGTGATGAAAATGTTTGGAATTTGATGGTTGCACATTGTGAATGTGCCAAGTGCCGCTGAAACATACATTTTAACATGGTTAATTCTATGTTATGTAATTTCAACTCAATTAAAAACAAAGCTATTGGTAGGTGAAGGGTTGTCACTTCTGAAGCTATTCCTTGGGTGTCACTAAATTTGGCAGCCCCCATTGTACTCCTGCTCCTGGACACACCTGCCCTTTCTGGTACCTGTTAGATGTAAGAGTGAATGGAAGAGTCTTGTCCTTTGAGCTGGTGTAGTAGCCTCAGTGTCTTAGTCATCTAGTGCTGCTGTAACAGAAATGCCACAAGTGGATGGCTTTAACAAAGAGAAGTTTATTTTCTCACAGTCTAGTAGGTTACAAGTCCTAATTCAGGGCATCAGCTCCAGGGGAAGGCTTTCTCTGTCTGTTGGCCTTCTCATCAGTGTTCCCCTGGACTGGGAGCTTCTCCGCGCAGGGACCCCAGGTCCAAAGGATGCGCTCTGCTCCTGGCACTGCTTTCTTAGTGGTATGAGGTCCCCAGTCTCTCTGCTTGCTTCTCTCTTTTATATCTCAGGAGATTGCCTCAAGACACAATCCAATCTTGTAGATTGAGTCCTGCCTCACTAACACAATTTGTGCCCATTCTCCCTCATTAACATCACAGAGGCAGGATTTACAACATATAGGAAAATCACACAATACCAGGAATCAAGGCCCAGCCAAATTGATATACACATTTTTTGGGGGACATAATTCAATCCATGACACCCAGTATGTTCAAGCATATGCTAGACTTACAATGATGTTTGTCCATCACATCCCTCAGAATCTCCATCCCAGCTTCCACTACTGGCGTTTCCCATTCCTGCAACACTACTGTGGGTCCTAGCTGTGGGCTAGGGTCCCACAAGCAGGCCATTGTGAGAAGGGGAGTCCAAGGATGTGGGTCATCTTTTCCGTGCCTTCTTAATTTGCTCTCATCCTCACCAGTGTCCCTGGTCATCTTCCTGTACCCTCTCCCCTCCCCGCAATCATGTCTGGCTCCTCATTTAGTATTTATTGACCCGAAACCATGAGGAGAGGCTCACAGAGTGGATTTTTGTAAAGAAGAAGGACGTTTAAGGAATAAATCGGATTTTCTTCTGAAACGCTGAGAATCTGACTTAGTTCTTGGGGTCCTATGACACCCAAGCTCATATGAAGGTGTAAAATAAAATAGTTTATGGGAGGGAGTTTTTGGATTCCTGTAGCACTTGCAGAGGCTGCCTGGGTGGTGTGAATTGTTAAGCACTTGCTACTAACTGAGAGGCTGGCAGTTCGAGTCCACCCATAAGTGCTTTGGAAGAAAGACCTGGTGATGTACTTCTGAAAGGTCACAGCCATTGAAAACCCTATGGATCACAGTTCTACTCTGACACATATTGGGCACCATGAGTGGAATCGATTTGACAGCAACTGGTTTGGTTTGATTAAGCATTTGCAGAAGCCCTTTAAACATTTATCTGAGTGAGAGGAAGTCAGCAGGAAAGTGGTGAGGATGTAGGGTTGACATGATGATAGGGAGGGTTTTTGTGTAGCATTTAATCCTGAGTAACAGTGGCTCTCAGACCTGGCCCTGCATCAAAATTACCTCAGGTGCTTGCTACAAATGCTTAGTGTGGATCTTATTCCACATCTCCCGAATCAGAATCCCTGGGTTAGGGCCCAGGAATATGTATTTTAACACATTTTTATTCTAACTTTGATGCAGACTTTCCTTTGGTCTTGTGACCAGTGTTGGGAACCATGACATAGAGACATTGATGGACATAACTTCCTGTAACCTATGAAACAGGTTCAAGGAGGTTGTTACCAAGACCCCACAATTAGTAAGTGATGGCCTGAAGAGCTGAGCCCAGGATGATGGTCCAGAATCACTATGGACCAAACGGATTCTGTGGGCAATGTTAGTCAACTAAGCGTCACTGAAAAGAAGTCATTTCTATGCAAAATTCCAAACAGCCAGCCTTAAAAAAAAAAAAAAAAAAAAACACTAGCTATCATTACTTTAACATCTACCATGTGCCAGGAATTATATTAGTTCTAGTTCTCACAAAAACCTGCAAGGAAGGGGAAAACTGAGGCACAGAGAGGGTCAGTGACTGCCTGTGGCCGCATGGCTAGTAATTGTTGGAGGTGGGATTTTAACCCACATTCTTTCCATCTTATCTCCCAAATGAAAACCTGAAACATAGCCTAGACCTGGCTGTAAATTTTTTTTCTGTAAAAGTTCAGATAGTAAATATTTTCAGCTTCGTGGGCCACACTGTTTCTATCTTACTCACTTCCACTGTTCTAGCAGAAAGTGACTGTCATGAATTGAATTGTGTCCCCCGGAAATATGTGTCGACGTAGCTAGGCCATAATTCCCAGTATTGTGTGGTTGTCTCCATTTTATGATCTGATTATCCTCCATTTTGTGATGTGTTGTAAATCCTAACCTCTATGACTGTGGTTATGGTCCCATTTGGGAGTGAGTTGTCTGTTATATTAATGAGGCAGGATTAGGTCACGTTAATGAGGATTAGGGTGAAATGCAACACCCTTACTCAGGTCACAGTCCTGATCCAACTTAAGGGAAGTTTCCCTGAGGTGTGGCCTGCATCACCTTTTACCTTACAAGAGATAAAAGGAGAGATAAGTGAGCAGAAAGGGTTGGGGGGACTTACTACTACCAAGAAAGAAGAGCTGGGAGCAGAGCATGTCCTTTGGACCCGAGGTCTCTGTGCTAAGAACTTCCTAGACCCAGGGGAAAATTGATGCCAAGATGCATGGAGATTTCCAAGGAAAGCTGGGCTCACAGATGTTGAAAGGAGACAAGGACCTTCCCCCAGAACTGAAAGAGAGAGAAAAAGCCTTCACCTAGAGCTGGCACCATGAATTCAGACTTCTAGCATCCTAGACCGTAAGAGAATAAATTTCTGTTTGTCAGTTCCATCCACTTGTGGTATTTCTGTTATAGCAGCACTAGATAAATAAGACAGTGACCAGAGACAATACATACATTAGTAGATGTGCTGTGTTCCAATAAAACTTAATTAACAAAAGAATAGGCAGTGGGCCAGCATTGGTTCATGCGCGGTAGTTTGCTAACCCCTGGCTATACAATAGCTGGAAACTGCTTAAATCCAAAAGTCTTTTTCATTCCTCTTGATCCTGTCATTGGGGAGATAATGGATAAAATGTTAAGAGACGTCTTTAGGATTGGAATAACAGTATGAGTATGAACTTATTTTTTAAAAATATACATTCAGGTAGATACAGAAATACAGATATGTGTGTATGCATAGGTTAGTACACATATACATATATTTCCAAGTTCTGTCCACTGAGAGGGCCTAGAAGTAGTAATACCCCATTAGCAACAAGTAACCCAACACTGAGATCTTGGTTTCTAAATGCTATTCTCCAATAAAAGGAACAAGGGATTCTTGTGTAAGTGATTGCTTCTAGGGCTGGGGTAGGGAAATTACTAGTGAGCCTGGAGCATCTTGGGGTGCCAGAAAGTAAGGAAGTACCCTAAAAACGAAAGGATAGGGACACTAGAAAAGACACAGAGCCAACCTGAAAAAGCTGCCAGTGTCTAAAACTGGAACAATTTGAGCAACAAAAATAAGTAACAGTTGTTATTGTTAGTTGCCATCGAGTCATCTTTGACTCACGGTGACCCCATGTACGACAGATGAAATGTTGTCTGTTCCTGTGACATCTTCATGATCATTGATGCTTGAGTCTATTGTTGCGACCACTATGTATTTTAAGAGTTTGGCTGCTAACCAAAAGGTTGGCAGTTCGAATCCATCAGCTGCTTCTTGGAAACCCTGTGGGGTAGTTCTATTCTGTCCTATAGGGTCGCTATGAGTAGGAATCGACACGGTGGCAATGGGTTTGGTTTTTGGTTTGGGTTCTAATTTAGGGAGCAATATTCTATCGGGCAATATTCTATTGTGATCCATGAAGTTTTCATTGGCTGATTTTTGGAAGTAGATTGCCAGGCCTTTCTTCCTAGTCTGTCTTAGTCTGGAAGTTCTGCTGAAACCTGTCCACCATGGGTCACCCTGTGTAAAAATGGCTTGAGGGCAGTGTCTGACCTCCTTCAACCCCACAAGGGGGAAGGAGAACCAAGATCAGCAGCCGAAGGCTGATTCTCATGAGGTGGAGGTCAAACATGCCTCCTTTCTCCACCCTCTTCACCAATTCTGACACCAGCCATCCTTCCCACAGTATTCTCTACCGGGCACACAGAACTCACAGACCATGCTCATGATTACGGAATTTATTAGGGAAGTAACAGTTACAATCCAGAGTCAGGAACACTCAGGATACGATTCTTCCATCAGGATAGCCTCTTCCCAGCTGTGCTTGCGGGCACGTCTCTCCGTGGTCCTCATTCTCTGCCCAACGGCACTCAGCTTTCTTTCTCCATGGGATGGGAAGCCTACTGCGTTGTCTCCTGCTGCCAGGTCTCTGCTGCTGGTCTCTCCTTCTTTG